CCGTGGGAATGCAAAGGTACCGTACGGACATGTAAAAGGTGGTTTTCTCTTTGTCTTCCGGTGCAATCCAAAATTTGGTTGTAACTTGAGTACATATCCAAAAAGCAATAGTAGGCACGCCCGACAAGTCTATCCAACATTTGATCAAGAAAGGGCAATGGAAAATGGTCTTTGTAGGTTACTTTGTTTAGATTTTGGTAATCCATGCACACCCTCCATCTAGTGACAGTCCTACTGGGAATCAACTCATTTTTCTCATTTGTGACCACAGTCATACCCCCTTCTTCGGCACACATTGTACCAGCAAAGTCCATGAACTATTCGAAATGGGGTCCACAACCCCTGCATCTAGACACTTGATGATTTCCTTCTTGGCAACCTCTTGCATGGCCTCATTCAAGCTCCTTTGATGTTCCACGGAGGGTTTGTAATCATCTTCAAGTATAATTTTGTGCATGCAAAAGGCGGGGCTTATACCCTGAATGTCAGCTAGAGTCCATCCAATTGCCTTCTTCTTTCTTTAGAGCACCGCAAGGGTGGCATCTACCTGTACATTAGTTAAGCACGAAGAAAGAATAATAGGTAAAGTTGAACAAGGGCCCAAGAATTCATACTTGAGGTGTGAAGGCAAAGGCTTCAACTCCAATACTGGAGGCTCATCGATTGAAGGCTTTGTTGGTAGAGTCTTTCAGTTCTTAAGATCTAAGGAAAGTTTCTAGGGCTCATATGGGTATGAACCCATTCCTTGCAAAGCATTGACATATTCCACCAAACATTCATCCTCAGTCACATCATGGTTCAACAACATAGCTTCCAAAGGGTCCTCCACATTAATCACAGCACTGGTGTCTTCAACAATCACTAGGTCACAAGATCCACAAATGAACATACTTTGTTGCTATTGGGCTGCCTCATTGACTTGCAAACATAGAACACAATTTTTTCATCACCCACCCGGAAGGTGAGATCGCCTGCTTCCGCATCAACTAAAGCTTTCCTGTAGCTAGGAAAGGTCTCCCCAATATGATCGGCACCTCATAGTCAACCTCACAGTCAAGTATCATAAAATCCGCGGGAAGTATGAACTTGTCTACCCGAACTAGCACATCATCTATTATCCCCAATGGTCTCTTCATTGTCCTATCCGCCATTTGCAACCTCATGGATGTGGGCTTTGGTTTCCCAATCCCCAGTGTCTTGAATACAGAATGTGGCATCAAGTTAATGCTTTCCCCCAAGTCGCACAAAGCTTTGGCGAAATCGGCACTACCAATAGTGCACGGGATTGTAAAAGCACCGGGGTCCTCTAGCTTTGGGGCCATGGAATTTATAATGTCACTCACTTGGTGCGTCATCTTGATCATTTCACAATTTATGGATCTTTTCTTTATTACCAAGTCTTTCATAAACTTGGCATATCCTGACATTTGTTCTAGAGCTTCCACCAAAGACACATTTATGGACAAACTTTTTATCATATCAATAAATTTCTTGAACTGGTTCTCATTGTTTTGTTTTGCAAGCCTTTGAGGGTATGGTGGAGGAGCACTTGGAAAAGGAGCCTTGGCTTTGGGCACTACCATTTCCGGTATGTCTATCACGTGTTCCCTAGATGGGTTCACATCATTTTGTGTTTCCTCCACGTTGTCATCAATGTCAATTCTCACTTCTTCATTCACATTCTCATCCCTCACTTGCACATCATTGCTTTGCTCATCATCATCTTGCACCAACACATCATAACTCACAACCTTTCTTGCATTAGAGGTACTACCATCTCCACCTCTACCACTTCTTGTAGTCACCGCCATAGCATGGCCCGTATTGTTCCCTCAATTCGGGTTTACTACCTTGTCACTAGGTAGTGCCCCTTAGGGCGAGTATTCAAAACTTGAGAAATTTTCCCAAGTTGGACCTCCAAGCTGAAGATAGAAGTATTATGAGACACCAATTGGGCATCAGAGTCGGCATTTTTCTTCATCATTTACTCAAACATCGACTCAATCTATCCCATCTCATTGTTGGACAAGCTAGGACCTTGTGATGGATATGGAGGTAGGTTGTTAGGTTGTTGAAACATCGGAGGCCTTTGAAAGCCCGGCCCCCGATTCCTCTGATTATTGTTATTCCAACCTCCTTGGTTGTTATTGCCTCCCCAATTGCTATTGTTATTGCCACCCTAGTTGCCTTGGTTACCTTGGTTGCCCCAATGTTGATTGTTGTTCCCCAGTTGCTTTGGTTGTTGTTGTTTCCACTGTTCCAATTTCCTTGTTGATTTTGATTTCCCCAACTTCTTTGGGATCTCCATTGTTGTTGTTGATTCAAAGCATTGCCCTGTTGTCCTTGGTAGTTGTTCATATACTGAACCTCTTCACTTTGATCATCATACACATCATCTTGATTGTAACCACTACCACCTTGCTCAAAATTGATCCGGATTTCCTTGATTTTGTTGACCTCTTTTCCTCCTATTGTTGACAATCATATTTACTTTCCATGGAATTCACTTGTTTTGGCCCTTGAACTTGCTGCAATTGAGCTTTGGCCAACTGGTTCATGGTCGTAGTTAACTTGGCTATTGCTTGGCCGTGGTCATGTAGTTCTTTGTGTAGGTGAATGACATTAGGATCACCTTGTGATACATTAGCTCGACTTTGCCACGCCGAGGAAGTATCTTCCATCTCATCAGGTATATCACACTCCTCATTATAAGGTGTGTTCATGAAGTTTCCCCCGACGAGTTGGTTAACTACACACTAGTTGGATGTATTGATGCCACGGTAGAATGCTTGTTGGATCATGGCTTCGGTTATGTCATTGTTCAGACATTATTTAACTATCATCCGATACCTTTCCCAAATATCATGAAGTGGTTCATTTGGCTCTTGTTTAAAGGCAAGGATCTCATCTCTCAGCGTCGCCATATGTCCCGGAGAGAAGAAATTTGCTATGAATTTCTCGGCCAACTCATTCCAAGTGGTGATTGGTGATGGAATGGTTGGGCAACCTTTTAAGCCAATCCAAAGCCTTCCCCCTTAGAGAAAATGGGAAAAGCCTTAATCTCAACGCGTCCTCAGAAACATTAGTTTGCTTGCTCCCTCAGCATGTATCAACAAAACCCTTGAGATGCTTGTAGGCATTTTGGTGTGGAGCTCCAGTGAATAAACCCATCCATTCCAAGAGTGCAAGCATGACATTTGTTATTTGGAAGTTTCCCGCCCTAGTCCGGGGCGGGACTATTGCACTTGCATATCCTTCGTTGGGCAACAGCCGGTGTGCTGCCCTTGCTGGAGGTGGATGAGTGGTTGGAATATTATCATGAGGCGGTCGGCCTCTCCATTATGCTTGTGGTTTGGGTTGAATCTCATCCACATTATCGTCATCTACCTCCCCCCCCCAATGGAAAATTTTCGGGAGCATCATTGTTAAGAGCCATTTTATACCTAAAAGCAATTCACAAATAAATTAGAAAATCAGAAGGAAAGAAAAATAAAACACACAAATACTCGGAGATATAGCTAAAACCGTTTAACTCCCCGGCAATGACGCCAAATATTGATCAGTTCCAAACCAACACTACTATAGAGTAGCAAGGATGGTCAATGTAGTTTTACCCAACAAAGGTCGGGATCAAATCCACAGGGAGTTAATTAGGTTGGAGTTATGTTTATATCCGAGTAGAGATGCGGGTTTTGCTCTTAATTTCACTTTCACAAATGGTTGGTTTTGTTTTCTACTTCTACTTTTATTCTATAGCATGCAATAGTTAAAACTAAGTACAATGTTTTTATTGGTTGTTTTCAAAGATTTAAAGGGACTAGGGTAGTGACTTCTGCCTAGGTGGATACCTAACGGGTAGCAAGAATGTAGGGTAATCATGTGATTAATTTGGGTGGTAGTATAGCTATCACAGTCGGGCACTCACTCTATACCTCTCGGTAGTTTGAGTGATTTTTCCCAATTTGGCTTTCTCAAGTCCAAATGGGTATTCATGCAATTCAAGTGAATTTAGCTCATGTCGGGTATTACTATCTCCATGTTTAACCCTTTAATTGGGGCTATTAATTTCTTGAGTTCACCCCAATTCCTTGTTAGCCTAATTTTCCTAGACTTAGTCCCACTTTCTCAAGTCGAGACTAAGTCATAAAGGCATGAATCAGTGTTTGCAACCACCAATTCCTTAGTTCTAGCAAGAACTAGGCTAAATACTACTAACCCATACACATTCAAGTCCTAAAATTCAAGATTCATTAAATACCTACACTAGGGTTGAGACACAACCCTAGTTATGGGTTTAGCTACTCATGAAAACAGTAGAAATCAAAGATATAGAGAAGATAAAAACCATAATGCTATATTAAAAGATGAAAATCTAAAATTATAAGGTAAATCTTGTACAAAATTGCCCAAATAGGAAAAACTAGTTGTCTCACGTGTTCAGTAAAAGATAACTTAACCTAAAAATATTAAAACAATCTATTTATACTAGGCTGAAATTCCAGGACAAAGATGCCCCTGCGGAGGTTTCGCGGCCGCATATTTCTGACCGCAACTGCACTCTTGCTTTCGTTCCCCTGTAATACTGAGTGCGGTCCACATTTCTTTACATCTGAGGCTGGGCTAGAACTTGTTTCGCGGACCGCATTTTTCTCATCGCATCCGCTTTGGTAATTTTCGCGGCCGCATATTCTTACCGTGGACCGCGTTCTTCTTTCTTGTATAACTTGCAAAGTCTCTGAATCCTTAGCACATGCTGTCAGCAGAATTCCAACCACGGCCGCGTCAGTCATTTAACAGCCGCATCTTTTTGTCATTTTCCGTGCCAATGAAGAGCTCAAAATACCACCTCTCTAATTCTCCCATTCGCGGTCCGCAAATTCATGACCGCATCTGCGGTGACACTTCTGCGGCCACACTTTTCTATCACGGTCCGCGTTCTACAATCTTGGCCTAGCCTTGGTCTTTGTTCAGGTTCTGACTCCTTTATGAGTTAATCATGGTCACTTTGGCTCATTGTGAACAATCCCTGCAAGCAACCATATTATGTTAGTTTTCGGGAATACCTTTAGCATTTTAAGCCCAAAACGCAAGTAAAAAGAGAGTAAATAATGGTTAAAATCCCCACTTATCAGGTATTTAACGAGGACTCGATTACCATTATGGCCTCCACAGTGGCCTTCATGTACTTCTTCGAGGATGCGCCTAGTTTGGTTTGGTTCTAGCCACTTTGCCAAGGGACTACCAAACGTTCTTTTGTACAGGTCATGGTTGATGATGTTGTATCGGGCCGCCTTCATTCGAAGCTCCTTGGCTTCTTTTTTATCGGGTGGGAGCACTCCATCCTACAAATATGACATAATACGGTTGCGCCTGTCCCAAGACAAGTTTATAGTGCGTACCTTAATTTTGTCTCTCGACGAACGGAGGAGGGTGACCACGTTTTCTTTTCCGCTTATGTTCTTGATGGCCACTGCTAATTTAAAAAGGACGTCTGCTTCAATATTTTGTGCTCGAGGTATTTGGTTGAGTTAGCACTCGTCGAACTCGGGCAATAGCTTATGAATTTCTGCCTGATATTTTTGTAGCCTCTGTTCTTTGATTTGGAAAGTCTCTATGACTTAGCTGACAACGAGTTGTGAGTCACATCGAAGGATGACTCACCATGCTCCATACTTGAGAGCTAGTTTCAATCCTACAATTACGGCCTCATACTTGGCCTCATTGTTAGTCATGTCGGGACACCGTATAGACTAGCGAATGACTTCGCTTGTTGGTACCTCGAACACGAGTCCTTGTCCAGATCCTAATACGTTGGAGGCCCCATCGGTGTACAGAACCCATAAGTCGGATAACTTGGGGGAGGTACGGGAGGCTTCCTGCTCAACCTCAGGCATTACTTTTGCGCTGAAGTCAATGACGAAGTCGGCGAGTACTTGCGATTTTATCGTTGTTCGTAGCTGATATGTTATATCATGCATGCTTAATTCAATGGCCCACTTGGCCAGTCTTCCCAACAACTCGGGTTTATATAGGATGCTTCTTAGGGGGAAGGTCGTGACCACCGAGATGGGGTGGCATTGAAAATAAGGTTTAAGCTTTCGTGAAGCTACGACTAATGCCAGGGCCAGTTTTTCGAGGTGAGGATACCTCGTTTCGGCATCGACAAGGGTTTTTCTAATGTAATAGATTGGAGATTGCATACCTGTATTTTCACTGACCAAGACTGCACTTACTAAAATATCGGATACGGCCAGGTAGATTAAGAGACGTTCACTAGGTTCTGCCTTGGCGAATAATGGGGCCGAGGACAAGTATGCCTTTAATTCTCTTAGGGCATTGATGCATTCAAAATTCCACTGGAGTCTGTTGTCCTTTTTGAGTATGTTGAAGAATTTGTGGCATCTGTCAGAGGATCAGGAGATGAACCTTGACAGGGTGGCTATATGGCCGGTCAACTTCTGCACCTGTTTCTTGCTGGTCAAAATTTCAAGTATTCCCTCTATAGCCTTGATTTGGTCAGGATTGACCTCGATGCCTCTCTGCGATACCAAAAATCTGAGGAACTTTCCCGAGGTCACGTTGGAAGAGCACTTTTCGGGGTTCAGCTTCATGTCATATCGCCTAAGTATGTCGAAGGATTCCCTCAAGGGGTCGATGTGGTCCTCTTTTCTTTTTGATTTGACCAACATGTCATCTATATAGACTTCCATCGTTTTGCCGAGTTGCTCTTTGAACATCTTAGTGACCAGCCTTTGATAGGTCGCCTATGCATTTTTCAACCCAAACGGCATGACTCTGTAGCAGTACGTCCCTTGGTGGGTGATGAAGGTGGTATTTTCCTAGTCCTCCTCCTCCATGAGGATTTGGTTGTATCACACCCCTTTTTAACCTCACTAACCCTCTTAAAATTTATAAAAGTGATTTTGTATCTCAAAAAGGGTTTTTTAATTAGAAAGTGACAATAGTTTGTGTTTAGAAGGACTTTTCAGAGTCACCACCTGACATTTGGTTTCGGTGTGTCAAGTCATCGTTTTTTTTAAATATTAATTTTCCTTCAAAACACGTTTGACTGTTAAACTAGTCTGCACCAGAGATTCAGGTAAGGGGTTGATTTGACTCGGGGAGAAGGTGTTAGGCATTCCCCGAGTCCCGTAACTAGTATGGCTGCATACATGATCAAGTTGGCTTTTAAAATATTCAAATTGAGGTAAAAATAAACACATAAAAGAAAAATAAACACACAAGAGGCTCAAGGTCGTCCCTACCTAATAAAAAAAATGAAAAATAAAAATACTACAAGTTCTAATTTCGACCTCCAAATACAAATACTACGGGGCATACCCCGGATAAAAATATATACAAAGTCTACGGCGCATTCCCCTGAATATGAACTAACTAAAGGGAAGGACCTCTCGCCTCGAATAAGATAAAAGAGAAAGACCTAAACTTTGCCTACCCGAGTGTGGTCGGCCTAGGCACGATACTAGCGATGAAGTGACAAAATAAGAATAAATAGCAAAACAATTTGTCGTGGATTCAAATCTTATTAATAGTATAGCTGCTCATTTACTTGTTGTTATCCTAGTTTTCCTTACGTTAATTCGTTTTAGTTCAACCCCATGGCCATGTATCTCTTAACAAGATTGTATGTATATCAGATTAAATTCAAACAACTAAAATCCAAAAGATTTTCCAAAAAACAATATGTTGAGCCATAGTACTAAAAATGGAGTGTAAAATATTAGTTTAAGAAACAAACCACCAAAATCATATCACCAAAAAATACATATGAAAGTGACGAGAATAAGAGAATAGAGAAAGAATTGGACCTTAACTGAAGAACAATCTTCCTTTAATACTCACGAATTGAAAAACCTCCAAGCTTTGAGTTACACTGCAAAATCATATAGAAACTGGCTCCGAGATCGTCAGCCGCAATTGGAACTACAGACAGAAACCTCAATCAGCACCGAAAAGCTAGTTGTGATGTGAGCCAGATAAAGGGGTTAGAAGAATTTCAATTTGGAAAATAGTAAAAAATGGATTGCCCCAAAACATAATTGAAATTAAGAGTTAAAGTTGAGGGGAATGGGCTAGTAAAAACAAAGGACAGAGATAGAGAAGGGTATGAAGATGGAAAGAGATCAAGTTGAGTGAAGAAGCATGTGAGATTTTTCAAAAAAAAAAAAACAGGTTCAAATTCGGAAGGAACATAGGTAATAAAGAGATAGACGTAAGGATTTCTTGACAACTAATTTCTTGGCAATACTCCACAATAGGAGACCAAGGAATGGAAAGCAATTGAAACACTATTCTGTCTCCTTTTCAATTCCATTAACAAATAACAAAAGGCCTATGTTTATGTCATCACTATATTAGCCTAACCCACTTTTCCCTCTTTGTTTTCTTTTTGTCCAGATCTTGTGCGTGTGTGTGTTTTCCATTTTTTGTATTGTTCTTTTGTGCGTGTCGCTGGTTGGGGTTGGCTGCTGTGATGTGAAGAAGAAGGTGGGGTCAGGGAGGGTCGCTGGTTGTTGTTCGCCGATGAGGGTGGTGCGGCTACTCAGAATTCAAGAGAGAGGGGGTCTGCCCTTTCCAGCTTCTTTTAAATTAAGTCTTCACCTTAGGATATTAGGTTATTTTTGGTTTTTATGGGTATTAGGCTTGGATTGAGGAATTATAGGTTATTTGGGCTTAGGTGAATTGGGTTGGTCCAAAATTGCTAAGGAAATTCAAAAATAAGATTAGGTTTTGGATTGTTCAAACTCTTTTAGCTAACATCCCAAATCTCTGAGCTTATTAGTCGTGCATCCAGTATTTTATGTGTCCATGCTTCGGAAGTATCACGACGATCCATCCTACGTGTTAGATTTCAGCATTGTCCAGTTGGACAAGGACTTGTCCTATGAGGAGGAGCCGTAGCTATTCTAGACTGGCAGGTTCGTCAGTTGAGATCAAAGAGTTTTCCTTCTGTTCGTGTCCAGTGGAGAGTTCAGCCTGCTGAGGCATCGACCGGGGAGTCCGAGTCCGATATGCGGAGCCGTTACCCCCATATTTTCCCTAACTCAGGTACTTCCTTCTTATGTCCGTTCGAGGATGAATGGTTGTTTTAGAGGTGGAGAATGTGATGAAGGTCATCACTTGTTTTAGAAATAAATTTTGTGTTTTGAGGCCTAAAAATCCTCTCTCTAGATCACATTGATTTGCGTGCGCAGTCTGGGCGCGTAGCCGGAAAGCTATTATGTGAAAATCTGTGAAAAATGATAAAATTTGCCCTTAAACTGAATTAGGTTGACTTCAGTCAACATTTTGGGTAAACGGACCCGGACCCGTGATTTGACGGTGTTGGAGAGTCCGTAGGAAAATATGGGACTTGGGCGTATGCCCGGAATCGAATTCCGAGTTCCCAAGCTCGTGAAATGCATTTTTAAAGAAAATTATTTTCTGGAATATATATGAGTTTTTAGAAATAAAAAATGTTTGGAAGTTATTGGTATCGGGCCCGTATTTTGGTTTCGAAGCCCGGTACAGGTCTTATATGTGATTTAAGTCGAGCCTGAAAAATTTAGTAAGAAACGGAAGTCGTTTGATGTGATTCAGACCCGTAGTTGTGGAAATTGATACTTTGAAAGTTTTGAGGTTTTTCTTAGATCTCTATGCTAAATTCGTTGTTCAAGATGTTATTTTGACAATTTGATCTCACGAATAAGTTCATATGATATTTTTGAGTTAGTATGCATGTTTGGTTGGGAGCCCGAGGGCTCGGGTGAGTTTCGGAAGGTTTTAAACTTAGGGAAAGTTGCAAGTTTTCAGTTTCTGGTGTTCTAAAATTTTGTTCTTTGCGTTCGCGGAAGGACTTTCGCGAACGCGAAGGATTAGTCAGACTGAAGGAATTTTCCTTCTATTGCGAACGCGATAAACAGGTCGTGAACGCGAAGCTTTGGGGTGCCTCCCTTCGCGAACGCAGACCTGCTATCACGAATGCGAAGGCCTTTAGGCCTGGGCAGGGGGAGAAGGATTTTACTCTATGCGAACACAACAACCTGACCGCGAACGCGAAGACTCGAGAAGCTGAAGCTCCGCTTACGCGAAGACTCGAGAAGCTGAAGCTCCGCGAACACGAGCTCTTGACGGAACGCGATGGCCATCTGGGCCTGACCCATCGCGAACGCGACAGGCCTATCGCAAATGCGATGAAGGCCTGCCCAATTATTTTAAAACAGAACTAGAACCGGGCAGAACCTATTTTACTCGATATTTTCGAACTCCCAAGGCCTAGAGGCAATTTTCTTCCCATAAATTAATCCCCAAAGTATTGGTAATCAATTCTAAACGTTACTCTTTCAATTACCCATGTTTTTTTCATCACTTTCTAATCAAAAATCAAGAGTTTCCATGGTAGAAATTAGGGATTTGGGAAGAGTTAGGGCTTTTTGAATAATTAGGATTTAGACCTCGTTTTGGGGTCAGATTTCGAAACTAATTGCATATTCGGGCTCGTGGGTGAATGAGTGATCGGGTTTTGGTCCGAACCTCGAGTTTTGACCAAGCAGGCCCGGGGTCAATTTTTGACTTTTGGGGAAAATGATAGAAAACCTATAATTAAGCTTTGGGTATGAATTCTTTAGCATTTATTGATATTGTTAAATCAATTTGGACTAGATACGAGTTATTTGGAGGCGAATTCTAAAGGAAAAGCGGTGTTTGAGGCTTGAGTTGGCTGTGGAAGCTTGAGGTAAGTGCTTAGTCTAACCTTAGCTTGAGGGATTATGAGTTGTGTCCTATTTTCTATGTGTTATTTGTTGAGTACGACGTATAAGCATGGTGACGAGTATCTATACGTTGGTGTCAAGCATGCCCGTGAGTCTTAAATTGAAATCATTGTGTTCTTAATAAGTACTACGAATGCCTAAGTTGTTGATTCTCTATGTTGGGCAAGAATTATGATTATTTTCGTGGAAATTGTTTATGGTTGAGTGTTGGCTAGTTGAGGTTTCTTTGTGAAGTTAAATGTTGGAACAAGTTTGGTTATAGCTGATTCCCTTGCCGGGGCGTATTTACTTATACTGTCAATTCCCTTGCCTGAATAGTATTGTTCCCTTGCTGGGACTCTTTTGTGATTGGTGTTGAATTGTATATTTGCATCGAGTTGCACCCCGCAATAATATTATATTTGGATCGGGTTGCACGCCGCAATAATATTATATTTGGGTCGGGTTGTACACCACAACAATATTATAATTGGATCGGGTTGCACGCCGTAACAGTGATAAAATGATATGGATCGGGTTGCATGCCGCAACAGTGTTTTTATGATTTGGATCAGGTTGTGCGCCGCAACAATAAATGATAAAAGTGGTTATTGATTGGTGACGGTTTCCTTATTCTTTCTGCCACAAATTTTAAATTATTCTTTATGCTTTTCTCCTGAGTTACTATTGGTAAATGATATTTCACCCGCAGCATGTCCCCTCCCATCCTTAATTGTATATTTCAGTTTTATTTTCTATTGTATATGATATAATGCACAGGTTTATTTGGTAGTCTGGTCCTAGCCTCGTCACTACTTCGTCGGGGTTAGGCTAGGCACTTACCAACACATGGGGTCGGTTGTGCTGATACTACACTCTGCACTATGTGCAGATCTCGGAGAAGCAGCATTCGGACCTTAGCTTGGTTGGCTGCCTTCAGTCCAATCGGAGATTCCGAGGTAGTCCTACAGGCGTCCGCAGGCCTTGGCGTCTCCCTCTATCCCTTCATCCTGTTTCATTTACATATTTCAGAAAAAATGTATTATTTATTTTTCGGACCTTGATTGTAGTAATTCTAGACCGTCTGTGGAGTTGTGATACCTGTTCTGGGTAGACTTTGTTTAAGACGTTGTATTGGATATATATTCAAATAGTTTTATTGTTTCTTCTGCTTGTTTAAAACTCCGCTGTTTATAAGCTATTGTTTCATAATTGTTAAAGGATTAAAATGGGAAAAAAGATAATTTGTTCAAACAGTTGGCTTGCCTAGCTTTCATTACTAGGCTCCATCACGACTCCCGAAGGTGGTAAATCCAGGTCGTGACAGTTAAAGTACCCCAAATGGGTCGCCAATGTGGTCATGGTAAAAAAGAAAAACGGGAAATGTCTCATGTGGGTAGACTTCACAGACCTGAACAAAGCCTGCCCGAAAGACTCCTTTCCATTGCCTCACATCGATTAGCTTATCGACGCTACAACTGGGCACTAGTTATTAAGCTTCTAGGGCGCCTACTCAGGCTACAACCTGTAGACATGTAATTTTTAACCCTCCTCGAGATTTTACACATTGTAACGTTTAAATATTTAGTTTAGGCCTAATATCGCTATTTTAACTAGTTTTGACTCTTTTACTTTATTTTATCACAAAATAAAAATTACAAAAATATTTTCATCTTTAGTTTAAAGTCAATTAGTATATTTATATTTATAGTATTTTAATTTTACCGTGACTTTAGCCTATTTTTACTAATTTTTACTTTATTATAAAAATTTAAAAAAAAAACAAAAATAGTTTCACTTTTAATATCTAGTTTTATTTTAGTAGTATATGTTAATTAATTAATAGTGATTAAATACATCATACTTTTGGAATAAGATTTGGGATTTTAGCTAAAAGAGTTTGTACAATCCCAAAACTAATCTTATTTTCGAATTTCCTTAAGCAATTTTGGACCAACCCAATTCCCCTTAGCCCAAATAACCTATAATTCCTCAATCCAAGCCTAATACCCATTCAACCCAAAAATAACCTATATCCTAAGGTGAAGACCTAATTTAAAAGAAGCTGGGAAGGGCAGACCCCCTCTTTCTTGAATTGTCGCACCACCCTCATCGGCGAACAACAACCAGCGACCATCCCTAACCCCCACCTTCTTCTTCACATCACAGCAGCCAACCCCAACCAGCGACACACACAGAAGAACAAAACAAAAAATGGAAAACAAACACACGCACAAGATCTGGACAAAAAGAAAACAAAGAGGGAAAAAAGGGTTAGGCTAATATAGTGATAACATAAACATAGGCCTTTTGTTATTTGTTGGTGGAATTGGAAAGGAGACAGAACAATGTTTCAATTGCTTTCCATTCCTTGGTCTCCTATTGTGGAGTATTGCCAAGTAATTAGTTGTCAAGAAATCCTTACGTCTCTCTCTTTATTCCCTATGTTCCTTCCGAATTTGAACCTATTTTTTTTTGCAAAATCTCACATACTTCTTCCCTCAACTTGATCTCTTTCCATCTTCATACCCTTCTCTATCTCTGTCCTTTGTTTTTACTAGCCCTTTCCCCTCAACTTTAACTCTTAATTTCAGTTCTGTTTTGGGGCAATCCATTTTTTACTATTTTCCAAATTGAAATTCTTCTAACCCCTTTATCTGGCTCACATCGCAACTAGCTTTCCAGTGCCAATTGAGGTTTCCGTCCGTAGTTCCAATTGCGGCTGACGATCTCGGATCCAATTTCTGTATGATTTTGCAGTTTAACTCAAAGCTTGGAGGTTTTTCAATTCGTGAGTATTAAGAGAAGATTGTTCTTCAGTTAAGGTCTAATTCTTTTTCTATTCTCTTATTCTCGTCACTTTCATGTGTGTTTTTTGGTGATATGCTTTTGGTGGTTTGTTTCTTAAACTAATACTTTACACTCTATTTTTTAGTATTGTGGCTCAACATATTATTTTTTTGGAAAATGTTTTGGATTTTAGTTTTTTGAATTTAATCTGATATGCATACAATCTTGTTAAGAGATACATGGCCATTGGGTTGAGCTAAAATGAATTTACGTAAGGAAAACTAGGATAACAACAAGTAAATAAGCCGCTATACTGTTAATAAGATTTGAATCCACGACAAATTGTGTTGCTATTTATTCTTATTTCATCACTTTGTCGCTAGTATCATGCTTAGGCCGACCACACTCGGGTAAGCAAAGTTTAGGTCTTTCTCTTTTATCTTATTCAAGGCGAGAGGTCATTCCCTTTAGTTAGTTCATATTCAGGGGGAATGCCCCGTAGACTTTGTATATATTTTTATCCGCGGTATGCCCAGTAGTATTTGTATTTGGAGGCTGAAATTAGAACTTGTAGTCTTTTTATTTTTCATTTTTCTTTTATTAGGTAGGGACGACCTTGAGCCTTTTGTGTGTTTATTTATCTTTTTTGTGTTTATTTTTACATCAATTTGAATATTTTAAAAGCCAACTTGATCATGTACGCAACCGTACTAGCTACGGGACTCGAAAAATGCCTAACACCTTCTCCCTGAGTCAAAAAAACCCCTTTACCTGAATCTCTGGTGCAGACTGGTTTAAGAGTCAAACATGTTTTGAAGGAAAATTGTTATTTAAAAAAATGGTGACCTGACACACTGAAACCAAATGTCAGGTGGCGACTCTGAAAAGTCCTTCTAAACACAAATTATTGTCACTTTCTAATTGAAAAACCCTTTTTGAGCTACAAAATTACTTTTATTAATTTTAAGAGGGTTAGTGAGGTTAAAAAGGGGTGTGATAGCTCTGGCGACTCCACTGGGGATTTGCAGGTTCGAGCAGGAACTTTATCTTGTTAGCTTTTAAGAATATTCGGTTGAGGTTTTTTTATGTTTGCTTTTATTTGTTTGTTTATTTGCTTTACTGGATTTTCATTTTTGTTTATGTCGCTTTATTTGCTAGTTGTTTTATGTTTTTACAATTTTTGCTTTATGTGTTACTGCTTTATAACTGTCATCATATACATCACCCTGAGTCAATTCTTTCTGTAATAAGTCTCGGAGTACGCGTACACGAACTCTTTGTTGAGTCACCCTTATTTTAGGAGGGGGGCCATCGGATATATGGAGTGGGTGGAAAGCTTGAGCAGCCACCATCGACCATACGCTCTCCCGAATTGCCTTGTTAGTGAACCCCAAACTTAGGTCAGCTTTTAGGCCATTCTTACTTCATCATGTCACTTAGACCTAGTGTCACGACCCAATCCCCGAACCCGGTCGTGATGGCGCCTCTCGCGGAGACAAGGCCAGCCAGACCAAAACGGAACACCTCTTTCAAATAGGTAATCATCATAAACAATAGTAACATATAATATAATATTCATAAATTGCGGAATTTAACGATAATAACAGCAGGAACCATCCCGA